TGGTATTATATATATATATATATATATATATATATATATATATATATATATATATATAAAAAAAAATATGTTGTATAAAAAAAAAAAAAAAAAAAAACATGCACACAGGGTGACCAAATACAATGATCGCTCACATACATGGACGCACACTCATATACAGGAGACACGAGGAGATATATATATGTGTGTGTACATACATACATTTATGTATGTATATGCGGATGTTGACAACTTAAAAGTACGTGTGTGTGTGTGTGTGTGTGTGTGTGTGTGTGTGTGTGTATGTATGTGTGTGTGTGTGTGTATGTGTGTACTGGTTCCATGTAGCTTGGGAAATAAGTGTGTATGTGTGTGTGTGTACTGACTACTTGTGGTGGGATAGTGTGTATGTGCGTTTGTGTGTGTATGCGTGTATAAGTACAAATAAGTTTACGAATTCCTCGTAGTAAGGAAATATACGCACGCATATATATACGCATGCTGACAGGAACACATAAAATAGAAACAGATCCAAGAGCACATAGAGGTCACTAAAACATTAAAAGATTAAATGCCGATAACTACTCGCTGGACAAACCTTAATTGTTTTATGACCCTTCACGCAGAACTCTTCATTGACAATTCTAGAAAGAAAATTCGGATTGCCAACACACAAACAGAATGTCTCATATCGAGAATATTCCACATTGAACATGAAGAAAAATTAATTATTTTTAATAATATGTAAAAATCTCCACTTTCACCTGAAGACGGTTGCGAGACCAGACCAGAAACACGTGTCGTGAAATTATGTAAAACAAAGTATAATATTTTTTCTCAATAAATCCACATTACAACCAAAAACGTTTGCGGCACCCCTCTTCTTTTTAATATATATATGTATATATATATATATAATTATTTATTCGAAAATTATGAGATAAATATGTTATAAAATCACTACAAAAATAGCCATTTTGTTTCAACAGTGCTGGTGTCATATCAAGTGATGGAGTTGAATGTAGAATAAAGGGTTTTAAAAGGTTCAGTTCAATCAAACAATCCTCGATAGGGGAAATGCTGTAAATGCTGGTAACACCTATCGAGGGGTTTTTCATTGATTTGAACCTTTTAAAACCCTTTATTCTACATTCAACACCATCACTTGATAAGACACTGGAGGTGTTGAAACAAAATGGCTGTTTTTGTAGTGATTTTATAACATATTTATCTCATAATTTTCGAATAAATAATTATATTTGTTCTACTCTGTGTTGAGCACGCTTTTAAGAATATTATTTTTTGGGTATTGGAATTAATTTCGTATACACCAATCCTATAGTTGTATATATATATATATATATATATATATATATATATATATATATATATATATATATATATATAATGTGTGTGTGCACGCGCGTGAATAAGGACAAAAGGAAAACTAGTCTTAGCCGACGCGTTTCGCCCTCTGAGGGACTTTTTCAATTAAAGGGTAGGATTTTAAGTGTGAAAACAAAGGAGACGTCTAAAAAAACAAGACAAAATGCATTTATTGTTAACCGTTATGAAGCTGAGCACAATTTTGATATATAAAATGCTACTCTAATTAAAATGCCACTCTAATTAAAATGCCACTCTAATTAAAAGAGAAAATAATTCACTAAAACGAAAATAATTTATCTAAACTCAACATAAAATCTCTCACAACATCTAAAACAATAAAAGACTTAATCAATACAGAACATAACAAGAAGCTTAAACTTGAAGGATGAATTTATTCTATCAACCAGTAAAATTGCCAGTAAAATATATTGGTGAAACCTCAAGAGGTTTAAGCAAAAGATTATATGAAAATAAAAGAAACATCTTAAAAAACAACAGAAAATGCATTGTCTGTTCACAGTAGCGAAACTGATTACAATTTTGACATAAAAAATATATCTCTACGTAAAAGAGTAAATAAATGACTAAGATGAAAATGTCTAGAGTGTCCTTTAATTGCTAATTCAGTTACACTAAATTTACGTCCAATTTCTTACAACGTATCACCATTCGTGGCAGATTTTGTGTGGGACAACGATGATGAAAAAGATGATGAAAAAGATGATGAAAAATGTTATCAATATATATATATATATATATATATATATATATATATATATATATATATATAATAAAAAATGACCTAATAAACTCGTATTTCCATCATAACACTAACATAAAATCCGGAATGATCACTGGATTCTGCTTAAGAGCACTCAGAATTTGCAGCCCTCAGTATTTATACAAAGAGATGAAATATATTGAAAATGCTTTCAAGGCCCTATTTCATATTCAATGCGAATCAAAAGGCGTATAAAATATTCCAAAATAGAAAAGCTGTTCTTCCTGACATCCACAACGAAACCAATATATTATATTTTCCACTAACACTATCACAACTGCAATCGAAAAGATGAAAATGTCTAGAATGTGCTTTAATGGCTAATTCAGCCACAGTAAATTTATGTCCAAGTTCTTTGGGATATCTAAAAACAAAGATGATGAAAAAGAATACAGAAGAATTTGACTAAATGTCTCAGTTATTTCCCTTTAACTCAACTCTGCAAGTTTTGGTTCACCACTGGCCTGGTATTGAACTCTTTGGGTCTAGTCACTGGATCTAATCAACGCCTTTATCCACTAGGCAATGTGTCCTTGAGTTAAAGGGAAATAACTAGAACATCCGGAAGAAACATGACACGTGGAAGTAGAACAATCTACACCCGGTGGACGAAATAAAGAGTTCAGTTCGAAATTCCAATCACCTGAAGAAGGCCGAAGCGTACAACGATCGAAACGTTGTGAATATGGCAATGCAGATGAGTATAACAGTCGGAGTAATGTAAATAATGAAAGTAATCATAAAATCTCATCTCTTATATAAACACAGATAAAATTCGGTACTACTACATCCAAAACAATAAAAGACTTAAACAATACTAAACAAAACAATAAGCTAAAACTCGAAGGAAGAATTTACTCCATCGCTTGTAATAAATGTCAGTAAAAATACATAGAAGAAACCTGAAGGAATCTAAGTAAAAGATTATATGAACATAAAAGGGATATGTTACAAAACAATACGTCAAATGCGTTGGTTGTCTACTGTAACGAGACTGACCACAATTTTGATATATAAAATGCTATTCTAATCAAAGGAGAAAACGATTCACGACAACGAAAATATCTAGACAATGCCTTTTGCGCAAGATCAAACACAATAAATTTTCACCTTGATTCTTACAACATTTCACCATTCCTGGCAGATCTTATCAGTGTGGGATACCCATTAACAAAATTGATGGTCAAAAACGAAAACGACTCTAAAAGAATTCGGCTAGATATCTACGAAAAAAAATTCTTAAAAAAACAACAATAACCCTAAAATCCAAAGCACCCCTGGTTTGTGCGCATGTGTAGTCGTACCAATTTGACAAATTTGTCGGATGAAGTCTCAAAGGACGAAACGCGTCACAAGAAAACTTTTTTCACAATGTCATACAATTTTTGCCGATATTATTTTTGATATATAAAAATATACACCATTATTTCATAAATATATATTTATTTATTTATTATAATTTTATCATATAGACTACAAAATCTTCGTTTCATTTTGCACTTTATGTATATTTTCTTCTCAAACAAATGGAAAAAAAAGATGACATTTCTTCGCTTTACAACCAGGATTATTCATTTTTATATTTTTCTAAATGCATTGAAAGTGAGTAAAATATTTTGTCCTGTTTATATAAATAAATAATTTTATCTACATCTGAACCCACTTTTGGATTAATGCTGTGAACGTTGGATTTTTTATATTTTACGTTCTTATCGCATCGAGTATGTCTATCTCTCTCTCTCTCTATCTATCTATCTATCTATATATATATATATATATATATATATATATATATATATAGGATGCGATGGATAAATGTTTGTCGTTTTTATAGATACAACATTTTAAATGCTCAAAGTTAAACAGTATTAAAAAATAATAATGTTATTTAATACTGTTTATCTTAAATCTCATTTTAACAAATATATTTAAAAACAACAAAATAAAAAAAATATCTATATAAATATTATATATATATATTTTATTAAATAAAATTTTTCGCCATTTATTTTTATATAGTTGAAACCACTGACCTCATTTTAACAGATATATTTACCAAAATAACAAAAAATATCTGGTACTTTTATTAAATAAAATCGCCATTTCTTCCTGCAGATCTCTTCTTGGGTGGTCTCCTTGTTTAAGTTGGTGAATGCTGCCAAAATCCTTGCTTTCAATTCATCTTTGGTGTTACAAGAAGTTTTGTTGATCTCTCCTCAACTGCTCCCCACTCCACAATAATCAAGGGGTTGCAATCTGGGGAGTTACGTGGCTAGAAGTAAGGGGTGATGTGGTCACAGAGATTGTCTGACAGCCATGACTTGGTTCTCCTGCTTGTATGGCATGGTGCAGAGACATGTTGCCAGCCACACGTTCTTCCAGCAGCAACACTCTTGACCCAGGGTAGCATTATCTTCTCAAGGTACTTGATATAGGCCTTCGTGTTGAGTCTGAAACCTTAACAAAAAATTCGGGAGTTTCTTTCTTATCAGAACGATCAGAGTGAGTTTTCCGAACTGCTGTACCTTCGTAATCATCATTAGACTCATCTAACTCTTTCCGAATCCCCTGCACTGTCCTTAGACTGACATCCAAACACTATGAAAAGTTCGCTTTCGGTCCGAATGGCAAGCAGAACAGCCTGCCGTTTCCAAACTTCTGATGGAGTGAATTGCTTATGATGCTCATTTTTTTACACACATTTCGATGGCTAAATTGTTGCCATTTTATATTTTTCAATTCGCGCATGCGCGTTGTTTTTTTTTTATTTTGTCAACTACACAGTATAGTATGGTCAGTTGGGCACAGTTTGCGAGAAAAAGAGCAACCTGAATATCTACAGTCTGTTCAGATCCATCTATCTATCGATTTCAGCTTGCTTCTATCTAACAATCTCAACTCCTATCTATCTATCTATCTATCTATCTATCTATCTATCTATCTATCTATCTATATATATATATATATATACCCACACACATATATATTCATATCTTTATATGTCTCTTCATATCTATCTATCTATCTATCTATCTATCTATCTATCTATCTATCTATCTATCTATCTATCTATCTGTTGCAATTTGTTCATATCTATCCATCCATCTATTTATTTCAATTTGTTCATATCTATCTATCTATCTATCTATCTATCTATCTATCTATCTATCAGTCCATTTATAGCAATTTGTTCATATCTATCTATTTATCTATCGATTGCAATTTGTTCATATCTATCTATCGCTGTTTATGTCTATTTAATCTTTTCACAACCATCTATACTTTTCAATTTCTTTCTTTTTTCTTTCTTTCTTTTTTTTCTTTCTTTCCAAATCTGTTCATACAGCTTGCTACTCATGTGCTTAACGACTAAATCCGCCATTTCTTTAACCGCTATTGTTATTCTTTTTTCCCGCCAACATCATCCTTTTTTCCCGCCTGACAGATATCGATAGCGTGGCAGATCGCTCTGGCAATGATCAATGACACTGCGAAATATTCCATTGTCTCTGAGTCCCAACAAAGCTAAAGGCAAATAAATAAATAAATAAAGACGAGTAGGCAAGGGCAGGCAATGTGGATGAGGAAACGCCATTAAGTGTATGGGGCCCACAAATAAAACAAAAAAACCCCCCCCCCCAAAAAGAAATAACAAAGAAACAAAATTAAAGACAGGAGTATTTTCGTTTGCCCAAATCTCATATTCCATGCAAACGTTAAATTAAGTAAGGCAATATGATGATCATTGTATTTTCCACACAGGCAAACATACACACACCTATTCATGCATATAAAACTCATATACACGTACACGCGAGCACACACACATATATATAGACTATGTTGAGTCTTAAATGATTTCTGCTTTTGTTGAACGATGTTATTCTTCAAAAAACAAAATGTAATTACATTTTATTCAGTAATATCTTCGCCATTATTTGCAATGATTTCTTGCCACTCATCAACTAGCTCTTCGATATCTTTTGAGTAAAATTCTGCAAGTTTTGGAATGGAAAATCTCTCGACGAACTCTTGAATCTGATTTTCATTAAAGAAACTTTACTGAATTTGAAGCGTTTTGCAGTGACCGAAAATGGTTGGCGCGAATACAGATGCAAATGGTGGATAGGGTGGAATAAACCAAACGAGTTGCATAATTTTTCCTGTGTTCTTGTTCCATGCAAAAAATATTTTTTGCTTTTAAGCCTATATTGGAGTAATGGATAACGGCTCGATTTGAGAAATCGGAGATCCGAGTTCGGATTCCAGTCGAATCCACGTTTATTTTTTTAAGCATTCAACCCCAAGCAAGGTGGGAAGCCACAAGCACGCAAGGGGTTACAGAGAGTTGGAGCGAGAGCAAAGAGGAGTGATAGAGGAAAGGATGAAGAGAACGATAGGGGATAGATCAAGGCAACTGGAGATGCCAATTGACATTACATTTGAATAGTTGGAGATTATAGCTATCAGGGAAACAGGAAAAGGGGAATGAGTTCCGCAGGCGAGAAGTGCGAGACATGAAGCTCTTGGAGTAGAAGAGACGGCTACATTTAACAATTTCGAGAGTGAAAGGGTGTGAGCGAGATTGCCAGACTAGTTGAACGCTTAAATTTATGAAGTCTGGGAACCAGCGAAAGCAGCTCATCGGAGCAGTTACCGTGAAAGTATTTGTAAAAATGACAGAGGGAGGCAACGGCACGTCTGTGAGAGAGCGACTGCAGATGACCACTTTTATTCTTTTAGAAATGGTTGTAGCATCACTTTTGTCCGATGATGTCCCACAGCAGTGGTTTGCATCCTTTTTTTTTTATACCACAGACTGGTTTAATGACGGACAATCTTTCCGCGGACCGGTAAAGGCACATATGATTAATTTAGGTGCATTTTGATAAAGAGAGCAATAACAAAAACAGTAATTCAAGTCGAATCCATTACATTTACTTACGTGCTAATACCCTCAGGAAAGATATGAATCCTCTTCTTCTGCCCCTAGCTATGGGTAAAGAGCAGGATAGAGCCGGCTCTATAGCCTTGGATGGCACCTAGTCTACCACAGAAAGAAATGGCAACCTACTGCGGGAAAAATCTGCCTCGTCATCATGTATCGAAAGATACAAGATCGTCTAAGCGTATATCACACATGCCACGTAAAAAGTACACATCTATTGCCGTACAAAACTAAAGTTTGTTTGTGTATTCCAATGTTATTAAATGCTACATATGACTTATAGTTAGGATAACACAGGTCATATTCGTAAACACAAATTGGTTCACAAAGCACACTTCTACTTCGACACAACCGAATACACACACACACACACACACACACACACACACATATATATATATATATTACATGAATCATTCATGCAAAAACAGATATAGAAGTTAATGATATAAATGGCGAGATGATTCATGTAATGTAAATTGAACTGCACCACATACATGATATATATATATATATATATATATATATATATATATATATATATATACACTATTCACATTATTCGGACTATTGTCCTCATCTTTGTCGCCATATTCGTTACAACGTTTCGGCCGTTGTACGCTCCGGCCTTCTTCAGGTGGTTGTAATGAACCCTTTACTTCGTTCAATAAGTAGCGTAGACTGTTCCTCGTGCCATGTCTAATAACTGATAACTGACATCCATTATATATATATATATATATATATATATATATATATATATATATATTTCATTGAATATGACAGACAAGGTGCTTTGATTTAGATTTTTATACAATTTCTCATGTGAGCTTATATTTTTTTTTTTTCTTTTCGATAGATAAATTATATAAAAAATGTCAATTGTTCTTTCTTTCCAAGCGCTTTCGGTTATAAATTTAGCCATTTTCAAGGTTGAAATTTATTAACTGTTAATAAGAAAGAGATTGTTCTATGCCTGTATTTATATGATGTTTTCGTTTTCAAAACACGGTCAATACATTGTGTCCATGTTCATAGTTGATATTATTGTGCTTTTTTTTGTTAATAAATCTTCCATTATTTTTAGCTTTTTTACATATATACGATACTATTATATTGGTGTTATCAACAAGCATGTTACGAATAGGATCCAGTAGGTTTCCATGAGTATTTAAATAAAACCTACTTGAGCTATGATCAGAAAGATATAGCGTGAGTCTTCTTGTTAAACATGTTGTAGTGTGGCCAATATAATTGTTTACGAATTTTTATTGATCAGGAATACAATTCCTTAATGGACATTTAAGTTCGTAAATAATATTTACCCTATTTAATTTTGTTCTAAGTGGTGAATTATTATTTTTAACTATAAGTTTGGCGGTTTGAAATTTGTTGTAATAAATAAATAATCTAATTTTTTTGCTATTGTCAACTGGTGTTGTGCATTTTTTATAATGTTCTTAATTCTAGTTTCATCTTGTTTGTAATTGATATTTATTGCATAAAAATGCAATTGTAATGATCATTCATCTGATTTTATAAAAAAAATATTAATGCTATTGTTTATGTTTGTATCTTCACCGTCCTATTAGATACCTTAGATAAAAAAAGGCTAATATGGAAATCCAACTTGGATTTCCGTTATTGATAAGCGTTTGTTTAACGTTATTTAATTCTTTAGAGAAAAGCGTACGAGAGGATGAATTCTCGTGCGCTCTCGTGAGGACATTTTTAATAACACCTATTTTATATCTAAGAGGGCATTCACTAGAGAAATTAAGATGGCAAGAGTTTTTACTAGTTGTTTTTTTATGAATAGATGTTGTAAATGTATTATTACTAAAATCGACGAGAACATCTAAGAGGGAGTTTATTTTTTTTCACTAAGTTCATAAGTAAAATTTAAAACGGAATTTTGTTGAAATGTAGTTTTCAGATTTTTCAATTTCCTTTTTGTTATCAACTAAAATAAATATATCGTCTACTTAACGAACATATATTCTAGATTTAATAACTTTAGTAAAAACCTTGTTTTCCACATAGGACATATAATAATTGGAGAAGAACAACCCGAATGAGTTTCATATACTTACTCCATCAGTTTGTATGTAAATAGTACCATTCTGGCTATAAAAACGAACTCTAGTGGTGCAAGCGAGCAATAGTTTTCTTAAAATATTGGGTTGGATTGATGGAGGTGGAATTAAATTATTTTTATACGCCGAATTAATGATAATATGAATAGTTTCTGTAACGGAAACGTTAGTAAATAAATTCTCTACGTCAAGTGACGCAAGAATGCCTTGGTTTATTTTTACTTTTATGCTTTGAAATATCTGGAGAAATTCATGGGTAGATTTAATACTATATTTAGTATGAAGATATGATGCATGATGTAATATCACTGAGGAATTTTGATAGTTGGTATATGCATGTTGGAATCTGAGAAATGATAGGGAGTAATGGGTATCGGTTTGTGTTTTTAACATTACCGTATAATATATATATATATATATATATATATATATATATATATATATATATATATATATATATATATATATATATATAACATTCTTTTTATACATACAAATATTTAAGTAAATGCTCTGTTTATAAGAAACAGTATTAAAAAATATTTACCGGCCTGAATGTCCGAGAAATTTTCACAGAAAATATTCGTCCTCCGACAGGATTCGAACCTGTAACCTATATGGAACCGTCATTTAGCTTGACGTGGCTTTACCGATTTGGCCATATATACCCAGAGAAGATGAGAACGAGCAGAGTTCAATTCCTACGTTCGTAACATTTCATTTTAAAGAGGGCTCAATACAAAGTAGTACAATATTATTTATTTTACGATATTACATCGAAAACATGTCAAAATCGCTACACAATTGAAGACGTGTTTCAATGCGTATCAGTGCATCTCATCAGGCGATTGTAAATTACTGGCGTGTCTATATACATACATATATACATACATATATGTATGCACACACACACACACACACACACACACACATATATATATGCAGCGAAACAGGCCTGTATGAGGATGACTATATTAATAAAAATCTCTCGTCTATTCGATCTAGCACTTTTGAGAAGTTAGCCGTCGATGCTATTAACGCACTGCTCTTCATTAAGGAATTGAGCGCTATGGCTGCTGGCGCTTTTTTTTTTTTTACATCCGTATACAATACGTTAGAATTTCTCTTTCTCTCTGCCGTGCACAATCTTCTTCTTCTTCTTCTTCTTCTTCTTCTTCTTCTTCTTCTTCTTCTTCTTCCTCCATACTCCTCGTCTTCTTCTTCCTCTTCTTCTTCTTCTTCCTCTCCTCCTTCTTCTTATTATTATTATTCTCAACCCCCTCCTTCTTCGCCTCCTCCTCATACTCCTCGTCTTCTTCTTCTTCTTCTCGTTTTCTTCTTCTCCTTTTGTTTCTTCTTCTTCTTCTCCTTCTTCTTCTCCTCCTACTCCTCGTCTTCTTCTTCTCTTCGT